GAATACTCACTCTTGGGAAGATGGTATGGTATTGTCCAGGGAACAGGAACTGATCTAAGAAGAATGTGGCTACCAAACATGCTTTGAGGAATGCTACTGCAGCCTCAAACCAAGCTACTGCTGTGGTGTATTGTGTTAAATTCAGTTCCTATAGGCATCCAAATCTCAAGTAATCTGTCTTGGAACTTCTTTGTTCTGAGATTGCTGATAAAGTTCTCAAATATTCTTATCTTTTCGTTTGTTTTGCTTTGGTTTTAATAAATTGACTAGGTGCTTTGAAATTTAGGCTGAGACTAGAGATTTCAAGAACTGTGTATTACATAAGGGGAAAAAGGGTTTTCACATGAATGAAGTTGGAAATGCCAACTAAGATACAACACTGTACTGTGTGTTCTGTTTTTCCTCTTAACTCCCACAGGGAACAATTACTAAATAACTTGTATCTGTAAGATTTCAATAGCAAAGAATGCATATTGCTAAGATGAGACTAGCCTGACCAATATGGTGAAACCCGTCTCTACTAAAAATACAAAAATTAGGCAGGTGTGGTGGCACACACCTGTAATCCCAGCTACTCAGGAGGCTGAGGCAGGAGAATCACTTGAACCTGGGAGGCGGAGGTTACAGCGAGCCAAGATTGTGCCACTGCACTTCAGCCTGGGCAACACAGTGAGACTCCATCTCAAAAAAAACAAAAAGATTAATACTCATGCTGAAAATACATTATGATGAAAATTTTGTAAAAACTAATATATCACTAGATCAAGATTAACATCTTGGAATAATCTACCATCTTCTTAAATTGTTGGGCCAACATAGGGAGAAAATCCTAAAATATGTTCTGCATCAACATATCGTCTACCAGCCTTGGTCCCTCTGGTAATTTAGGTTTATTAAAAGGCCCTGGCCGGGCGCGGTGGCTCAAGCCTGTAATCCCAGCACTTTGGGAGGCTGAGGCGGGTGGATACAAGGTCAAGAGATCCAGACCATCCTGGTCAACATGGTGAAACCCTGTCTCTACTAAAAAAATACAAAAAAAATTAGCTGGGCATGGTGGCACATGCTTGTAATCCCAGCTACTCAAGAGGCTGAGGCAGGAAAATTGCCTGAACCCAGGAGGCGGAGGTTGCGGTGAGCCAAGATCGTGCCATTGCACTCCAGCCTGTGAAACTCCGCCTCAAAAAAAAAAAAAAAAAAGGCCCTGCCAGGTAGCAAGAACTCATAAAAGTCTCAACATCCAACCCCCTGCAGTACTGAGGCAGATGTCTCTTCCGTCTGGTGACAGAGCTGCCTCTCATGCTCTATGTGTCTGAGTCTTTGTTCAGAATACTGCAAGAATTGTACCCATTGCGAAGACCCTGCCAGGCAACATTCCCACACCACTGGCCTCACTCCTGTCTAGCCTGTATTAATGGCTGTCTTTGGCCAGACAAGGTTTCTAGTTCCTGCGTCTGGGGGCCAGGTTGGCAGGCTACCTGACAGAAAGCTTGTCTATGCATGGCCCTGTGGAAGGGGCACTTGGTTTGGTGGAATCCTCTCCAAAGACATGATTTTTGTCAAAGCTTCTTTAATGTTATTTACTGCTTTCATGTAATGTCATTCCCTTTCCCCAAACACGCACGCACGCACGCACACCTTAATATTTTTGTCCTGTTAAAGTTTTCGGACACTTCATTATCTGCTATCTCATTTTTTCCTTTCAGGAAAAAATGGAATCCCTTAAAATTGATAGATAGGACACTCATTATCCCATTTGAAAGATAAGAAAATTGAAGTATAGATGGGCCAACCTCTGACATTTAGCTAGTGACATCCTGGGAGCAAGCATCCAGATTTGCTGACTGCAAAACTGTCTGTCTTTCTATTGTACTTTCTGTCACTTGCCTGTTCCTCTGTTAGTTTGCCCAGTATGGATGTTTAATCTCTTTCTTTTCTTTTCTTTTCTTTCTTTCTTTTTCTTTCTCTCTCTCTCTTTCTGTCTCTCATTCTTTCTTTTCTTTTCTTTCTTCTTTCTTTCTTTGACAGAGTCTCATTCTGTCGCCCAGGCTGAAGTGCAGTGGAGCAACCTTAATCTTAGCTCACTGCAATCTACCACCTCCTTGGTTCAAGCGATTCTCCTGCGTCAGTCTTCCGAGTAGCTAGGATTACAAGTGTGCGCCAGCATACCCAGTTAATTTTTATATCTTTAGTAGAGACACATTTTCGCCATGTTGGCCGGGTCTTGAACTCCTGAACTCAGGTGATCCACCACCTTGGCCTCCCAAAGTGCTGGGATTACAGGCGTGAGCCACTGCACCCAGCCTAATCTCTTATTTTCTAAGGTGAGAGATATCTTACCAAGCCAGTCTTGTCTGTGGAGGGATATTTCTAAGGAATTAAAAGACAGCCATCTAAGTCTTAGCTATAATAAGGATCATGAAGTGAGGCCCTGTCAGAAACATGAAAGTTAAGAGCTAAGTTTTATGCAGGTGTAATTTTCTAATAGCTTTACAGCATATGTGCTATGTATATTTGGTAAAGCACTCCTTAACTACATCCTTCTTTCCCTTCCTAAGAAGATCTGAATGTAGGAAAAAGAAAATTAAATATGTATTTGAGTGAAAGCACTTGCTCTAACTGAGCCAACCCAGAAAATAGCCAAAGGTTCAAAATTAAATATTACCCATTATTTATGTTTGGAAGCTCTCAGAGAAGAATTTATATGGGATGAAGTTCTTTGCAGGTACCAACTTCCTGATAATACGTTACTAGAGACTGGAAACTAGTAATAAGATTTAGGTTTCAGATATACCCAGTTAGCATCTCAGTGGTGTCAACAGTATAAATATACTTTTCTGGGAGCCTACAAGAACATTAAAAATCTATGAACACATTTTTAATTTACCATGCGTAAATAAAAGTAGAAGCTTTATTTGATTGGTAGGGTTTTGTTTGGGTTTGGTTTTGTAGTATTCATAGTTATAATTCCATTATCAGTCTTTGATCTTAATAAGCAGGCCTGGCAGGAGCTCTTTATTTTGTAAGGAATCAAAATGACAAACTACAGACTTATCACTTACAAGAGGGGCAGCCTTTTTCTGTGGAATTTTAACTGTAGTGATCAGTAAGTATTATCAGACTGACGGAAATAGTCCTTTTTTTAATGTTTAAACAACACTTACTGTTTCTGATTATAAAAGTAACACATGAGAAAGGCAGTGGAGCATATGGACTGAGGGCACTGATTCTGGAGTTGGAGAGGCTCTGGCTATGTACATACTTGGTCAATCATGGCGTGGGACCAGAACTGTCTAAGCTTCAGTTTCCTTGTCTATAAAATGGGGAGAAATTATGGTACCTACCACAGAAGTTTTATATGAGGATTAAATAAAGTAATACCAGAACATTCTTAGAATAGGACCTGACTTAATAAAGAGAGTTAAAAAAAGAAACCAAAATGACTGGTAGAACTACAGCCACTGGTTTTGTTTTGTTTTGCTGTTGTTGTTTTTACGAAACAGGGTCTCTTAGAACTTGAGGATAAGTGGTAATATTAAGGGAGGGAGGGAATGAAAAAAAAGAAACAGGGTCTCACTCTGTTGCCCAGGCTGGGGTACAGTGGCGCACTCATAGCTCACTTCATCCTTGAGCTCCTGGGCTCAAGAGAACTTTCCACCTCAGACTCCCAAGTAGCTGGGACTATGGGCATGAGCCACCACACCCAGCTAAGTTTTTTTATTTTTAGAAACAGTCTTACTGTGTTACCTAGGCTGGTCTCAGCCTGAAGGAATCTTCCTGCCTCAGCCTCCTAAGTGGCTAGGGTTTCAGCTATGAGCCACCATACCCAGCTCCACTGTAATGTTTTGATGTGTTGGTGTTCAGGCTTTCTGCTATGTATATGTATACACACACACACACACACACGTATTACATTTTATATGCAATTACATTCTGCTTAATTTTTCTCACGTATCTTAATTTTTTTTTTTTTTTTTTTTTTTTTTTTTTTTTTTTTTTTTTTTTTTTTTTTTTTGCTGTGTTGCCCAGGTTGGAGTACAGTGGCACAATCTCAGTTCACTGCAACCTTCACCTTCCAGGTTCAAGCGATTCTTGTGCCTCAACCTCCCTAGTAGCTGGGATTACAGGCATGCTCCATCACACCTGTCTAATTTTTTTGTATTTTTTTAGAGAATGGGGTTTCACCAATATCTCTCTTGACATTAAAATTTAGCATGATGGCTCATGCCTGTAATCCCAACGCTTTGGGAGGCCAAGTGGGAACAATTCCTTGAGCCCACAAATTCAAGACCAGCCTGGGCAACATGCTGAGATCCTGTCTCTACAAAAACATGTTTTTTAAATTAGCTAGGCACACATCTGTAACCCTAGCTATTTGGGAGGTTGAAGCAGGAAAATCGCTTGACCCCAGGAAATTAAGGCTGCAGTGAGCTGAGATCACACTATTGCACTCCAGCCTGGTGTGACAGAGTGAGACCCTGTCTCAAAAGAAAAAAAATTACTTGAAAATGTTTTCATGACCCTTTAATACTGTAACATATGACCATATAATTATTTATTATGTCCTTTGTGAGATATCTAAGTGATTTCTAGTATTTTACCATTATAAATATTGCCACTTCAAGGTTTGAGTTATTAGGTTAAAGCCTAAAGGGTTTGAAGAATCTTAAAACTTCTTTTTCTTTGCACTTCTCTGATGTTGAACATTTTTATGTTTATTAATTACTGGCATTATTTCAGTGAAATGCCTTTTAGTGAATAAATGCAACTTGCAAAGCTTTTTGTATAGGGTCTCTAGTCTCTGAAATAGTGCCAGGTACATAATACTCAGTAAATATTTGGCATGGTGAATGAATGAGTGAATGAATGGCAAGAATATTAACACTTTATCTACCATATTTTTTTCAGATGGGGTCGTTGTGCCTCCATACATGCACAATGATAATGCTATCTTGGTTCTTAATCTTTACCTAATTTTTTTTCATTCTTTTCTTCCCCTACAGTTCATCCATGAGCTCGGATTTCCCACATTACAACTTCAGGATGCCTAATATTGGATTCCAGAATCTGCCTCTCAACATATATATTGTGGTTTTTGGTACTGCTATATTTGTCTTCATCCTTAGTTTACTCTTCTGTTGCTACTTGATTAGGTAACTAATTTTCATTCTATGTTACTTCAAAATATGTTAAACAGTCAATAGTAAATCAAGTTTCTATCCTGATTTTTAAATTAAGTCTGATAATTGGCAAATTTTAAAAAAATTAAAATGGCTTAACATTTTAATCTGTGCATTAGTAATCAGTAAAACACCTTTATATAATCTGCAATCTTATCTACTGATGAAGTGTTTTACTCTGTAGGAGAAAATTGTCCTCATTTTTATTTCTGCCTTTCTACCTTTATACCAAATACACATGTCATTGTTTGTCTCCAAGATTTAATCTACTCTCAGAGATTTCAAAATTACTTTTCAAGAAGGTGTGGCATCCTTGTTAGTTAAAGTCATTAGGTATCAGAAAAATAGGGGATGCTGGGCGTGGTGGCTCATGCCTGTAACCCCAGCACTTTAGGAGGCCAAAGTGGGCGGATCACCTGAGGTCGGGAGTTCAAGACCAGCCTGACTAACACTGAGAAACCCCGTCTCTACTAAAAATACAAAATTAGCCGGGCGTGGTGATGCATGCCTGTAATCCCAGCTACTCAGGAGGCTGAGGCAGGAAAATCACTTGAAACCCTGGCAGCAGAGGTTTCGGTGAGCCAAGATCGCACCACTGTACTCCAGCCTGGGTGACAAGAGCGAAACTCTGTCTCAAAAAAAGAAATTACAGTTGAAAATTATAGGGGAGGAAGTGATAGGGTAACACTTAAAAGAGAGTGGCGGCCAGGTGCAGTGGCTCACACCTATAATCCCAGCACTTTGGGAGGCCAAGGTGGGCAGATCATGAGGTCAGGAGTTCAAGACCAGCCTTGCCAACATGGTGAAACCTTGTCTTTACTAAAAATACAAAAATTAGCTGGGCATGGTGGCGCATGCCGGTAATCCCAGCTACTCGGGAGGCTGAGGCAGAATTGCTTGAACCAGGACCTGGGAGGTGGTGGAGGTTACATTTAGCTGAGAGTGAGCCACTGCACTCTAGCCTAGACTAAGAGTGAGACTCAAAAAAAAAAGAGTGGCAGAGTGATTCTCAAAAAAACAAGAGAGTGACAAGGGTTTGAAAGAACCACTGCATGGAAGCTTAGGATACTGAGCATGAATAGATAGAAAGATTAGAGGGCAATGTGGAGAATCAGGCTGAGACTGGAGACTACAAATTTGCAGTGGCCATAAGCTACATGGTTTTATCATTTCTCTAGCACTGTTCAGCATTGTTAATCATGCCCTCTTAAATACTTTTTAGATATCTATTTAGCAATGCAAAATAAAATAATAGTGCAATTAAAGTATTAGATAATTAATGGGAGTTAGAGTAATGGAGGAATCAAATTAACTTCATAGAATGAAGTTAATATAAGGAAGAACTTTCTAGAAGGGATGGATTTTGAGCCACAGATGAAAGAAGAAAGCACAAATTGATCTGTGCTGTAGCTGGAGGTAACAAGTTCTGTTTTGGGAAAACATGCAGATCGAATTAAAATATCCAAATAAGCAAAATGAATTAACAAATCAAGCCTTGTTTTAATGACTTCTAATGGAATTCATTTTCTTTCTTTTTTCTTTTTTTCTTTTTTGAGACGGGATCTCACTCTATCACCCAGGCTGAAGTGCAATGTCATGATTATAGCTTACTGCAGCCTCAACCTCCCAGGCTCAAGCAATTCTCCTACCTCAGCCTCCCAAGCAACTGAGACTACCGGCACGTGCCATTATGCTTGGCTTTTTTTTGTTTGTTTTTTTTGAGGTGGAGTCTTGCTCTGTTGCCCAGGCTGTAGTGCAGTGGTGTGATCTTGTCTCACTGCAACCTCTGCCTCCCTGGTTCAAGCCATTCTCCTGCCTCAGCCTCCCGAGTAGCTGGGATTACAGGAGTGTAATACCATGACTGGCTAATTTTTGTATTTTTAGTAGAGACAGGGTTTCACCATGTTGGCCAGGCTGGTCTCGAACTCCTGACCTCAAATAATTCACCCACCTTGGCCTCCCAAAATGCTGGGTTTACAAGTGTGAGCCATTGCACCTGGCTGATGCCTGGCTAATTTTTTAATTTTTTGCAGACACCAAGTCCCACTTTGTTCCTCAGGCTGGTCTTGAACTCCTTGGCTCAAGTGATCTCCCACCTCAGCCTCCCAAAGTGCTGGGATTACAGGCATAAGCCACCATGCCCAGTCCATTTTCTTTCTTTATATCAAAATGTGCTGTTTTCATGTAAAGAAATAAAACAACCCCATAAGCATGTAGATTATTTGAACTGCATAATTAATAAACTTATGAGAAAGCTATAGTTTTAAATTCATATATAAGGCAGGAAAGACTAAAAAATAATGACCCACGTTTTCATGGAGCTAAAAGTAAAGGCCAATTAAACCCAAGAAAAAGTAAAAGGAAGAAAGTAAAAAAGCTAAGCACAGAAATCAATGAAATAGAAAATAAATATATAATAGTAAAAATTGTTGAAACCAATGCGGGTTCTTTGGAAAGATTAATAAAGTTGATAAATCTCTAGAAAAACTAAGGAAAAAGGAAAGAAAATATAAATTACCAATACCACTAATGAAAAAGGGACATTACTACAAATCCTATAAATATTAGGAGCTCACAAAGAATATTATGCATTTATGGCAATAAACTTGAAATTTTGGGTGAATTACATAGATTCCTAAAAATCAAACAAAAAAAGAAGTATATCCAAACCGACATAAGAAAGAAAGGGCATTTACTTAAAAAGAAAAAGAAAAAAAACCCACAGCTTAACATTGTACCTAGTGATGATTTAGACCAGGCATCCCCAAACTTTTTACACAGGGGGCCAGTTCACTGTCCCTCAGACCGTTGGAGGGCCGTCACGTACTGAGCTCCTCTCACCACCAATGAAAGAGGTGCCCCTTCCTGAAGTGCGGCAGGGGGCCGGATAAATGGCCTCAGGGGGCCGCATGTGGCCTGCGGGCCATAGTTTGGGGATGCCTGATTTAGACAGAAAGCTTTCCAGGGAAACCTACTTTACCACTACTGTTCAGCATTGTACTGGAAGTTTTAGCAAGAGCAATTAGGCAAGAAAAAGAAGTAGAAAGCATCTAACTAGAAGTAAAACTGTCTTTGTTTGAAGATGATATGATCCTATATGGAGAAAATCCCATAGGATACACACACACACAAACTACTAGAGCTAATAAATTTAGAAAACTTTCAGAGTCCAACATCAACATACAAAAATCAGTTGTGTTTCTGTACATCAGTAATGAACAATCTGGAAAGGAAATAAAGGAAACAATCACATTTACAATAGCATCCAAAGGAATAAAATTCCTAGGAATAAAGTTAACCAAGAAAGTGAAAGACTTGTACATGAAAACTACAAAACATTGCTGAAAGAAATTTAAAACACAAATAAATATAAAGGCACCCCGTGTTCATGGATTAGAAGAGTTTATATAGTTACAACGGCAGTATTCTCCAAGGCAATCTACAGATTCAGTGTAATTTTTATCCAAATTCCAATGGCCTTCTTTTGTAGAAATAGAAAAAGCAATCCTCGAATTCATTTCGAACTGGGGCCCCAAATAGCCAAAGCAGTTTTGAAAAAGAAAAACAAAATAGAAGGATTCACACTTCCTGATTTCAAAACTTCAAAAAGCTACTGTAATAAAAAAAATTGTGGTCCTGGTATAAAGATAGACATATAGGCCAGGTGTGGTGGCTCATGCCTGTAATCCCAGCTATTCTGGAGGCTGAAACAGGAGGATCACCTGAACCCAGGAGGTGGAGGTTGCAGTGAGCAGAGATTGTGCCACTGCACTCCAGCCTGGGCGACAGAGCAAAACTCTGTCTCAAAAAAAAAAAAAAAAAAAAAAAAACTGATACAAGAAATTGAAAATCTGAATAATTGTGTATCTAATAAGAAATTGTGTTTTTTTTTTTTTTTTTTTTTGAGACGGAGTTTCGCTCTTGTTACCCAGGCTGGAGTGCAATGGCACGATCTCGGCTCACCGCAACCTCCGCCTCCTGGGTTCAGGCAATTCTCCTGCCTCAGCCTCCTGAGCAGCCTCCTGAGTAGCTGGGATTACAGGCACGCACCACCATGCCCAGCTAATTTTTTTGTATTTTTAGTAGAGACGGAGTTTCACCGTGTTGACCAGGATGGTCTCAATCTCCTGACCTCATGATCCACCCGCCTCAGCCTCCCAAAGTGCTGGGATTACAGGCTTGAGCCACTGCGCCCAGCTAAAATTGAATGTATTTTTAACACATTTCCACAATGATATTTTAAGCCATGTAACTTGTCCAAACATTTAAGGAAAAAAAATACCACTCCTATATGACACTTCCAGAGAATAAAAGTAGAACAAATACTTCTCAGTTTATTTCATGAGTCCAACATAATTTTAATTCCAAAGCCTGACAAGGATTTTATAAAAAAGTAAACTACATACCAGTCTTTTTTATCAATATCTTGTAAATTAAATTCAGGCATCTACAAAAAGGGTAGAATATTACAACCAAATGGGGTTTGTTCCAAGAATGAGGGCTATTTTAACATTTGAAAATCAATACAATATAGCACATTAATGATATAACATAATAAAGTATTGATAAAATTAAACACCTATTCATGATTTTTTTGTAGAATAAACTAGTACTACAAGGGAGCATTCTAAAATTTGATCAAAGGTATCTACAAAAAAAATCTAAAGAAAACATTATACTTAATAGTGATGTGTTGATAGGGACATTCACTATCACTTTTATTTATCATCATACTGCAAGGCATAGTTAGTGCAAAAAAGGAAAAAAGAATAAAAGAAAAGTGTATTTTAAAAAGAAATATATAAAGATTATAAAGGCAGGGTTTAAATTGTGATTATATGCAGACAACATAATTGTGTACATTAAAAAATCCAAAAGCACCAGGCACAGTGGCTCATGCCTGTAATTCCAGCACTTTGGGAGGCTGAGGCAGGTGGATCACAAGGTCAGGAGTTCAAGACAAGCCTGGCCAA